ACTCTGGAATAGTGTAAAAATATTAAGAATTGATTGAGTTATGCGAGTTATAAGTTTAGTCTCCATTCCAGTGCTCGAAAAATTAGGTTTCTTTTTGTCAGCCACGCTAAGTGACCTTAACTACATTTATAGGCTTCGTGTTCTTCACAAAAGTTGTAGATTTGGGCATTGTAGCTTTAATGGCTTTAGAATCACTCAAAAAGGATGTATATAACTCTAAATATGGTTGTTTTAGTGAACAGGGGTCAAGCTATCTTGTGGATTATATCTATTTCGGTTTTTGACATTTTTAGCTAACTAGATGATTTTTTTTAGAATTTCATGTCTTCATAAGAGTTGTATATTATCCTCTTATGTTTCTTTTGATATAGGTTTTAGCTTAATTGGATAAGTATAACTCTTTGTTTTATTTTCTTTGACAATTGTCAAAGGGAACTACAAAAATGTTGTAATTTAGAATCGGCTAAAAGCCGACTCTAAATCATAAAAACCCACAAAATATTGTTGGTTGTTCGTCAATTTTTTGATGATGCTAAATAATTTGACACAATTTTTTTTGTGTCGGCTAAACCGTCGATAACAAATTTATTTATTTAATTTTTTATTGTCAGTTAAGCCGACATTATGTCGACACAAATTTTATTTTATTTTTTCTTTATCTTCTTTTTCCAGCTTATCATTTATTCATTCATATTTTTAACATTCTCGGGACTCGATTTGTGAACCTTGAGGTCTTAACTGAACTTGATAACCAAGTGTACCACAATACATTATGCGTATATAACATTGAAAAATTATCTTTATCTCCCAAAATGCGTATACTATTGAAAAAGACAACGCTATTTTAAGATGTAGCGTCGACTTTTTCGACATTAAATTTAAATTAAGTTTAGTGTCAGAAAAGTCAACGCTATTATTTAAATATAGCTTCACCTTTTCTAACACTAATTTAATTTAAATTAATCTAAATTATTGTCGGAAAAGCTGACACTATATCTAAAGAAATAGTGTCGGCTTTTCTGACGCTAAACTTAAAATACTTTCATCTCAAGTTTACCGTCGGAAAATTTGACGCTATTTCTTTAGATATAGTGTCAGCTTTTCCAACACTAATTTAAATTAATTTAAAGTTTAGCATCAAATTTTCCAAAGCTATTCTTTAGATATAATATCAACTTTTCTGACACTAATTTAAATTAAATTAGTGTCAGAAAAGTTGACGCTATGTTTAAAGAATAACATTGAGTTTTCCGACACTAAACTTAATTTAAAATTAATGTTGAAAAAGTCGATGCTACATCTTAAAATAGCGTCGAATTTACCAACAATATTTGCGTTAGCTGTTATCTGACACTTTTTTTGCAGCTATTTCAACATTTTCTTGTAGTGGGGAGACATAATTTTGATGTTCTAAGGCGTTATGGTGTAATTGATGAATTAATTATGATGTGAGTATGTTGGCATGTGATGAGATGTTGTGTTAAATGTGAATGTGATATGATTATGGTTCCTCACACTTATGTTGGTGTGGCATGACATTGGACAAGATCTGCTACATGGGTGGCATGAGTATGACATAGTGTGCGATATGTAAGGCAATTAACATGTATGTCAGCGTGGCATGACCTTGGGCAAGAGATTCTACAGGGGTTGTGTGAGTATGACATAATGTTAATTACAAGATTTGTGATGATTATGAATGACATGTGATTGTGATTCCTCACACTTATGTCGGCATGGCATGCCTTGGGCAAAAGATGCTATAGGGGTGGCATGAGCATGACATAGTGTGGGACGTGTGAGGCAATTAACACGTATGTCGATGTGGCACGACCTTGGGCAAGGGATGCTATAGGGGTGGTGTGAGCATGACATAGTGTTAATTACAAGATTTGTGTGTGGTAATTAGTACTTATGTTGGCATGGCACAACCTTTGGCACAAGATGCTATAGAGGTGGCGTGAGTTTAACATAGTACAAATTCTATAATGTGATGGATTGGTGTGAATGAGAATTGTTATGTAAAGATTATGCTTGATTGATAGAATTATGATATGTAGAAATGGTTGTAAATATTTCATTATGTAATGAGTTATGATGAGATTATATTATGGTTTTTTTGTATATGCTTTACATATATATGTTTTGTTTTCTCACCGTACAATTTGTGGATATTTTAGGTGAGGAAGATCTGATTTTGAGTCGCATCTAGAGAGACAACAGTTGAGTTGTGGGATCGGGGCAGAGGATTTCTAGGACCTAAATTTTATATGTATTTAGAGTTGTACTTATTATTTTGAAAATAATTGTAAACTCTTAAGTTTTATTTTCCAAATTTTATTTTTAATTATTTAGATATTGAAGAACAATTATAAAGGTTTTATGTGAACCTTTTTACCAATATTGAAAATTTTATTTGTTTAACTATTTACCTTATCATAGTATATGTGTTGGGGGGGTAGTAAGGGTGTCACAAGAGCCAGTTGTGTATTGAAGTTAGTAGTAGAAAATTGCAAGGTCCCTATAACTCTTCATAGTATCTGGATGATCCAGACCCAGTTCTCTCTCATTAATATCTAGAGCTTTTAGTTGGTAAATTGTAGCCAGTGTTTCAAGTAAACAACTCAATGAATTGGAATTGAATTCGAAGAACAAAATAACATAGTATTTATATATAATCAAAGCAGTGCATTTAACTATAGACAAAAAACGTGAAAAACTGGAAATAGTATAGTCAATTGAATGCTATTTGTTTGACTTTATATTTTTGTTATATATGCTTCTTTGGTTTCCACTGCAAAATATTGTCTCAAATCTAGAATAGAATGACATCAAACAATACTTGGTTGAAGGCCTTAGTATGATACAGTGTCATCCGAGGATAAGGGCCACAACCTGCTACAAGCCTGGCAAGAGCTTGTCACCAACAAATTATTGTAGTCATCATATGATAATACAAAAGGCATTTTCTGTTGAAAGAAATTGTCAGATCTTCATAGAATTTCCCAACAAAAGGCTATAAAGATAAATACCTTTGTCCTATAGGTAACTGCATCTTCAAGCTTTCCCTTGCCTAAAACTATTTTTTATGACTCTAAGAGTTGTCTTCCATCTGCAGATGAGCATGCTGATTGCTGCAAAAGATGCATTGTATACAAATCTTGGATCTATTAATAAATTTCCAAGACATTAGATGAGAGACCATACAATTTTAATATCTTGTCATGTTTAATTTATTACCTTGTGAACTGGTACCAAGCTGACAATGTCAGATTTGTGGAAAGGAATTGGAGAATCCATGTCAAGATCCCTTGGAACAAGCTTAATGCCAATCTAACATAGATGGTAACAACAAAAAACAACTGTCAATGAACAACCACTTATATGTTGTCATTTTCAATTGATAATCATAAGAACTACAATCTATTGATTAAGTCAAGACATGGATATATTGTAACTATATATACACATGCATATGGGGAAACTATTATGAACATCTTTTATAAGCACTAGCAGAAAGTAATAGTAATATGTACCTATCTGTTTGCATTTTTTATTTTTATTTTTGAAAAATGTTAAATTTGATATTTTTGCCAAATTTTTTTTAGCAATTTAATATAATTAATTTGACATGGGAGGATATTTCTTATATTATTGTTATAGATATAAATTATTGATAATGACCATCACAATAACAACCAAACCTTACTCCCCCATCATTTCTTTGAGGTTCCTCTAAACATCTATATGGAAGGGAATCACACAATATGACGGTGATGATATCTTAAAAGATACAACATATCTTGGACAACCTAAAAGCCATAAACCTCTATATGGGAGTTATTGTAGCTGAAAGGAAAGAAAAGTAAAGGGAAAAAAGTAGGTTTGTTGAATTCATGAAAATGATCAAGTTATAAGCTAAATTAATACTTTCCTACAAGATTGAGAATCAAATTTGTTGACAAGGCCATTGACACATTATGATTGTGCAAACCTTCCTTTCTTACCGGCAAATAACTATTAGAGAGGCCATTCTTTATCTGTAAAAATAACTACGCTCCAATATAGGCCTTTTAAACTTTAGAGGGGCCAGGACAAGTACAAAACCCTAAACCTATATAACATATACTCAGTGATTAAGTCTCATATTGAGTAGTATGGGATGCTCAATGGAGTACTTAAGTGGCTTGGTTCTCCCCCTTGATAGCTAGCTTTTAAAGAAGGGTTCCCCGTATGCTTGTGTGCTTATCAATTGGTATCATAGCTGATTGTTAGTGTCTTAAGGATGAGTTTACTAGAAAGGCTGAGTAAAGCTTTATAAAGTGCAGCTGTTGGGATGTTGGCTCCCAAGGGTGGTGCTATGATCGGGACTTGGGCATTATGAAGTGCCTAAGTCCCATATTGTGTACTATTTGGTAGAGTACTTAAGTTACTTGGTTCTCCTCCCTTGATAACTAGCTATTAAGGGATAGTTTCCAAGTGATTCAGTTCTTATCATAATCAACACGTAATTATCATAGTGAATCATAAAATTTATCCCATAGTACTCCTAGGAATGGAAATAATAAGATACAAATGTATGACTCCATTGCTATGCGAACTACAATGCAACATACATTGTAGGTTCTATTGCCTACTTCTAGTACCTTACGATATAAGCCATGTAAAACCACCAACTTCCTCACATTGTTGTAATTTAAGCTGCTAAGATTCTAATCAAATCAGTTCTTTAGAAACACTTGTAGACACACTACTAGAAAATTATTGTTCTACGACAATAATTTTACATTGGTTCTACCAAAAATGATGTAAAATATAAATATGGTGGCATTTTTTTTAATTAAATATAAAAGGTTAGAACATTTATATCAATTTTTTTTTTTTAAAAAAATCAATGTAAATTTATACTATCCTACATCGGTTTTTGGATTAACTGATGTAATACTGAAAATGTTCTACATTTATTAAGGGCATGACTAATGTAGCATTCTTCTATCCCAAACCCTCTTCGACTATGATGATGAAAAAACCTAACGATTATTACAAGACTGTGATATATGACAAGGAGATGCTGGTCAACTGGAGGAGCTAGGAGGCGCTGAAGTTTCTGATGGTCGCGAAGCTGCTTTTGGCCGACGACGACACGAAGTCGAACAAAATGGCCTTGGTTTTCATCCACGATGGGTTGAATTCCCTGAAGTAGCCAGTGGTGGTTCAATAGTTCGTGAACCATGATGGCGTGATCTTCAAGGTGTACGTGGTCAGGGAGTGTGTGCCTTGCGTGAAGCGAAAGTCCTTGCCGAATGTGGAAGAGAAGAAGTTGGTAAGGGTTTCAGAGGACTTGTTTTCGTTCTCGCAGGTGTGAAATTTGGCCATTGATTAGAGAATCAACGATAGGTATTATAAGATGATGCAGTTGGATGATACCGAAATGGCTCCCTTGAGCTTCGTTACTCAGATAGCTCGGGGGTTGAGGCACGTGATGAGGCTCAACTTGCTTGATTTCAATGTTATTAGGGATTTATGATTATCAACATCTTTATTGTTTAGAGATACCCATTCTAATGTATTGGAAGAAAGTTTGCAAAAGCTTGGAGTTGAGAAACTCAACAAAGATGATGTTCAAAAGCTACAATGGGAGGTCTTAGAAGCCAAAATGGAAACTAGATTGATTTCATGCGTATTGCTGTAAGACCATTGTAAAATTTATTTATATATATTATCTTTATATAGTTGTTCAATTATGACCATTGTAAAATTTGTTTGTATATATTATCTTTATATAGTTGTTCAATTATGCAATTATACTTGAACAGGTCAAATTGTTGTTTGCTGGTGAACGAAAAGTCTGTGATCAGATATTTGAAGGATTTGACACACTTAGTGATCAGTGTTTTGCTGAAGTAACTAAAAACAACATTTCCATGCTGCTTAGTTTTGGAGAAGCAATTGCCAAAAGCAAGAGGTCACCTGAAAAGTTATTTGTACTTTTGGACATGTATGGGTTCTTGCTAGTTTTTACTCTGAACAATTTTTACATTTGACCTGTGATAGAATTTGACATTAGCCTAGATGTCTGATATATGTGTGTTCATGGTCATGCACCATAGGGTTTTGTGGCTGTTTTGCATGTGTTTAACAAGAAATAGGAGGCATATTTTGATGGTTGTAACTTGTTATCATCTTTCGCTCTGGACAATTTGTAGATTAATATGCTCTTTAAAGGCAGAGCTTGAACCAAAATAAGAGAAGCTATATCGGGTTTGACAAAACAACTTGCACAAATAGCCTAGGAGACCTTTGGAGATTTTGAAGAAGCAGTTGAGAAGGATGCTACCAAGACTGCAGTAACTGATGGAACTGTCCATCCTTTGACAAGCTATGTGAAGTTTTTATTTGAGTAAGTTCATCTTTGTTGTATTCTGCTTCAAATTCTCTAGTCCACTCATTAAATTATGTCTAGCATTGTATATTGTTTTCACTGTGCTAAAGCTATATCTATATTTATCTATGATGTGTGGGTATTTTTTTCTTTGGTTTTCTTAATTTTTTTTATGGATACATGTTCTTTCTTTAATTTCTTATGCCACATGTTGTTTTAGGCCAAACATCTAATCTTTTCCACAATTCACAAATCCAATCAAAATAAAACGTTGGAATGTATCTACTTTTAACTGCTTCATAATTAAAAGAAAAATATTACTTGATTGCACTAAATTCAAAACAGGAAATCTACATTAAAATGTTAAAAGCACGTAAGCAACATCTTTAACCACTATTTATTTTACAAGTGCATTAACTTAACATAAAATAACAAAGATATTTTCTTTAGAGATAAAGACCGCTAGTAACTTATAAGTTATCATTGTAGTGCCAATAAATCCATTTAAGTTTGTATATTTCCTTACCTCCTATCCTATTAATGTAATTCAGAGCTTAAATTATTAATATCCAAATTTAATCAACTAGAAACACCCTTGAGAAACATAATTTAAGAAAATGGGAAAATAATATATACCTTAAAATTTGTCCTTCCACATCCACGTATTAACAGGGTATCTCCAGTGAATTCCATTCTCGATTGACATTAAATTTAAATTTTTTTGGTAATTGATTTATTGTAATTTTTAAGAATATTTTTAATCATATAGTGAACACATAAGATTTAATGATTCTAATTTTGTTAATTGATTTTGCTTCACCATCAAAAAGCTTTAATGATCTAGTGAACACATAAGAGTGGAATTGTTAATAAGTGTGATGGAAGACCTCCTAGCATTGATGGAAGAAGGATGATCAATGAGAGTACTCCTAGACTCCATGGATCTTTGTTCTTCAAAGGCCTAGCCTTGGATGGTGGTGGTGACCGAAAATGGAGGAAGGATAAAATGTGTTTGATGGAATGCTTGAGAGGTACTCTAGGATATGGCTCACTCTAAGGTAGATGAAGGCCACTCCTAGGGTTTTTACTCAAGGTGGAGATAGGTAGGGTTCTTGGCCGAAAATGACCAAGAGAGACTAAGGAAAATATAAAGGCACAAAAGACTCACTCTATATTAATTTCCAAATTATTTACAAGGAAGCTAGCCTAGGGTATTTATAGAAGGGAGGATGCATTTAGGGTTATATTTGAGAGTACACGGCTAAGTAATGCAATCCAAATTCACTTCAAATGAAACCTAAATTAACCCTAGATGCTACTTGGTGGCCAAAGATGGAATATTTGGGTTTGGTTAAGTTACATCTAGGTGCATGATAAGACCATGCAACCTAGGTGCCCTCCAGTTGGGCCTAAGCCTTGCCAAGTCCAAAAAGTAAATCCAATGCCACCAAAAAACATGTCTAGGCCTAGTTTCCAACCTTAATAAAATACCCTAGCTATAAAATAAAATCCTATAATCTAAGACACCCCATAATACAAGGGTAAAATGGGATATATAAGTAAAAATAAATCCTATGACTAAGACACCCCAAAATACAAGGGTAAAATAGGAAATATAAAAAAATAAATCATATGTCTAAGGTACCCAAAATACAAGGGTAAAATAGGAAATTAAAGACAAGGGAAAAAATAGGAATAAATGCTATACTAATAAAAACTTAGGAGCTAAGGCCCAAAAGTAGTCCCACTCTTCTCATGGTTTTCAAAACTAACCCATTGCTCTTGCCTCCTTCAATATATCACCTTTTGGTCTTCTTGGCGTTGGTGTGATTCCATCAAAGTGAAAAGAGAACATCACTTTCCTTTTTTTTTTTCTAAATTACTTTTGACATGTTTTATTTGTTTAATTATTTTGTTATGTAATGGGATTTTGAATAGGTCACTTAACCAATGCATTATACTTATTATTATAGAGTGCTCCACAACCACTATGGAGAGTCATCATGAGTTGTGTACCATGACTTTGGAGTACAAAAGGGAGTTTGGCAAGAACAATTACTGTGCAAGATTCTCTGACTGATGTGTCTGGTGCTTTGATTTAGGGAATTGTGCACCATAAACATATGGATTTGATTAGTAGTGTGGTATCAATATCTTTCCCACTTGCAAATTCGATTACACATTTTGATAAGCTTTTTTTATTTTTTTATTTTTTTATATTTTATTATCAACTCTAGCACTACTTTCCCTATCACTTTTGGATTTTCATTTCATTTTGATCGATATGTTACTCCTAGGTGTTATCAATATTTATTTGTTTCATTAAAATTTATACATAAGCATGTATATTATAATTTGTTTGTGTGATTTTTGTTATTGTAATTTGGTGACCAAGTTAATATTGATGCACAATATTTGTTCATTATATTTATATATGAAAAATTTGTCTAAGATTTATATATATGTTCATTACAGTTAATTAGAAAGAGTTTTAAAAAAAGTATGATTTTTTTATAAAAAAAATGCAATCTACATCGATTTTCTAAAGAACATATGTAAATTTATACATAAATCTATATCCGTTTTCCTGAGAACCGATGTAAATTTATGTATAAATCTACATCGAATCAAAAATCGATGTAAAAAGGGCATAGATTTTTTAAGTCACTCTATTCTACATCGGTTTTAGAACCGATGTAAATGAGTTTGCAGAATGATGTAGAATGTGCATTCTATAGTAGTGCCATTTTGATGGAAATCTAATCCCCAAGGATCCATTTGGAAGAGGTAAGACCAAGAAAGGCGAAGGTTGATCCAAGGAGGCTCACCCATGAAGACCATTGGGCCTTTAACTAGGTCCATGGTTAGGAAGCTAGAGGAGACTTCTAAAGAGGAGGTGCTTCAAAGACCTTTGCTCATCATGAGCATTGATTATAGTTCCTCTTATTAGTCTCTTAAGTTTCCATTGTACATACTTGTATAGTTGTTTTCTTGTACCTTGTATATAGTAGATACTTGTATAGGTGTATTTTTGCCTTTGTATTTGTGAGGCACTTTATTTCCTTTCTAGTAGCTATTGTATATTGTTTCTAGGGTAGGTTACTTGGGCACTTTGACTCCATTTAACCTAACCTAGAAATACACTCTTTCTTAGTTTTCTAGTAGTAGGAATAGGAGTGGCATTAGCAAACTAGAGAGTGTCTCTAGTAAGCTAGAGAGTGTTCCTAGCAATTTAGCCAAAAGGTGGTCCTAGGCTAAAATTTACATATTGGACTCATTTTACTCCTAATTTTTCATAGATTTGATTTAGCTAGGTTCCATTCACATTGGATGAACCTAACTAAACCAAATTAACAATTTTAAAACGTGATTGGAGTGAAATAATTCCAAAGAGCCGCCCACCTAGATGTGTTCACACTTGTGTTCACACTTGGCCAAATAGCTTGGTGCTTCTCAAGCTTGGAAGCTTGAAGCACAAGCTTCTCCTTAGCAAGCTTACCAAGCAAGCTAAGAGAGAAGCTTGCTCTCCAAGCCTCTAGACCATGAGTAGTTAGCTAGAACTTACCATGGTTCCTAGTGAACCATGGTTAAGACTAGCTTACTCTCCAAGCTTCCTACTCCTATAATTTCGTTTTTCCTTCTTTGTAAAACACTTTTGTGATAATTGAGATTGTATTTTCTGAATAGAGTTCAGATTTCTCTCTTCCAAAAGTCCCTAAACCTCTTTGAGTGCATCCAATTCTCTTATCCCTTCATAGAAGAGTGTGGTGAGAATTGAAGGGGCTTATCTCTTCTCCAAGGAGTGGCGCCTCTTGGGAGTGTTCCTCCACAAACTGTGGTGGCCTTAAGGCTTCCTCCTCCATAGGAAGCCTTAACCAAGCATAGGAAGAATCAAGGAGTTCAAGGTCTAGGGAGGAGCTTGAAGGAAACTCAACATCAATCCGGGTCTCCAACAAGTTTTCCATCACATTTCCATACTAGGGGGTGGATTTTGCAAGATTTATATATTTCTTTATTTTCAGGAACACCAAGTAGCAAATTCAATGTAGCAGCTATGGATGTAGCCATTTTCTCTATATCAACAACAACAATCATTGCTTGCAGGATGTGCTTGAAAGCTCAAACTGTAACATCCCAAAATTTATACAAGGGTTAATTATTATTATAGTTATTAATTAATAAAAATGGGTCTTTCATGTGAAATATTTTAGAGATTTCAATACTTGATTATTATATATTTTAAATATTTATAGGGATTATTAAAAGAATTTTGTAATTAAAAAACAATTAATAATAAAATTTTGGTATTTTGAAGGCTCAGAATGGGCCGTTACCAAAAGTGGAATGGGTCGTTCCAAATTTTCAGAAAGGCTTTTTTTTTGCTGGCCGGAACGGGCCGTTTCAAAAATGGAACGGGCCGTTCCAAATTAGTAAAGATGCTTACTTTTCCTATCCCAGAACGGGTCATTCTCAAAGTGAAACGGGTCGTTCCAAGATTCAGAAAATGCCTAAAAATCCAAGTTAGAAACGAGCCGTTCTAATGAAGGTCAATGAGTGAAAAAATAAACTCCAGAACGGGCCGTTCTGATATTAGAACGGGCCGTTCTGCTTTTTGAAAACGGGTCGTTCCGATTTTAGACCGGGCCGTTCCAGTTGAAAAATTTGCCTATATTTGAAGGCACCGGAACAGGCCGTTTTGAATTCAGTACGGGCCGTTCCGGGTGCGCCAGGATGCCTATAAATAGGCGCATAGGGGGTGAAAAAATTATAACTGAGTGAGAAGTGAAAATTTTAGAGAGAGGGAGAGAGAGGGAGAGAGAGAGAGAGAAAGAGAGAGAGAGAGAGAGAGAGAGAAAGAGAAAGAAAGAGAGGGAAAGTAAGAGGGAATCTAGATGAGGAAGTTCTACTCAAGTTTTAGCTCCTGTTTATCCAGGTAAGGGGAGGAGAACCTTATCTCTTTAAAATTTTATATACTATTATGTTATTTATTTATATTATTTTTTATTTATATTTATTTAGTGGGGTGACCCTAACCTCATTTATTTGCTTAACTTATTTTTTTTTTATCTATAATAATTGTTAAGATGTTCATATTTTATATGTTTAATTATTTTATAATGATAGTTATATTTATTTATATCATTGGTACTCTTATTTTTTTAACGTAAATATATTTATTATAAATATATTTATAATTAACTATAACCTATATTCTAAAAATTCTTTGCCCCGATGTCACAATATCAGAGCATCCTGTAATTCCACTATTGGCATTCTAGATGCCACTCGAAGCCGGATCTTTCTCACCTAAAACATCCACAAATTGTACGGTGAGAAAAGGAAACAATCATATGTAAAGTACATACAAACACACGACAAATGTAATCTCATCAAAACTAGTTTGCATAATAAAATATTTACAAGCATATATATATATATATATATCATAATTTATCAATCATTTCTCATCTTCACATCTCAAATCTCAATCCACAATTACATCAATTCATCATAATCCACACAGATCTTACAATTAACACTATGCCAAGGGCACGCCACAACTAACATAAGTGATACGGGTTAATTGCCTCACTCATCCCACACCATGCCAGGGTCACGCCCTCCTTGTAGCATCACTTACACAGGGGCCGTGCCATCCCTAGTCATTGATGTGAGGAACCACAATCACATCACAATCCACACAATCTTTTGCAATAAACCCTATGCCAGGGCTGCCATAATCGACATAAGTGGTGTGTGTTAACTGTCTTACTCATCCCACACCATGCTAGGGTCACGCCCTCCCTATAGCACCACTTACCCAGGGGCCGTGCCATCCCTAGTCATTAGTGTGAGGAAACACATCGCAATCACATTCTTAATCATGTCCGTACAACATCTCATAGTTCAATTTCATACACATATCAAATAAGTCCAAAATAATGGGTTTCATACATATCAAACAATTCACATTTAAATCATCAATTTTTATCAAATAATATAATAATGATATTCATAAATTAATATAATAATCAATAGAATTAGCAATTTAATATAATTTTAGCATAACCAGTAAAACCCCCAATTGTTCCAAAACCTAGCTCACAGGCACTTTTTTTACAATTTCGTTTTTTCTCCCAGATCATCCTTCTTACAATTTAAATATATATTTCTAATCCTTAACACATACAGAATCTAATGGTATAATTAATTCCTCAAACAGAAATAATCTAATTTTTCCAAAACCTAACCTACAGGCACTTTTCTATAATTTCGTTCTCTCTCATAGATCTTCATTTTTACAAAATAAATATATATTCATATTCCTAAATATATACAGAATTATATAAGACAAATAATTCTTCAAACAGCAATAATTATAAAATTACTCATAATTCTACGGGCTCTTCCTCTACCCAATTCCCTCATGTAACTCTACATATAAATAATCCCCTTTTCCCCCGTACCTGGATATGTAGAAGCTGAATCTAGATATGTAGAAGCTGAATCTACACTAGATCTGGTTGATCTCCCTCATTGGGTTCCCCTCGGTCTGAAGCAGAAAGTAGAGGAGAGAAGAGAGAGAGCAGAAGAAAAGAAATTAGAAATGAGAGGTGTGCTTTTTGGGAGTGGCAAACAACTCTATTTATAGGCTTTTTACGCCGGAACGGCCCGTTCCAAATCCGGAACGGCCCGTTCCAAATCCTTAAAACGTGGCTAAAAATCACATCCAGAACGGCTCGTTCCAAAACCAGAACGGCCCGTTCTGGTGTGCATTAATTACC